TCCAACTTAATCGGAGAAATAGAATTCCAATAGATTACTGGATCAAATTTATTCATTTTGTTGTACATTTGTTGTTGGATTATTCGATTTGTTCGGTGGAACTATCATTTTGCTGCGTTGTCAGAACGACCATTTTTGAAAAAATTGACGGAAAAAATTGTTCTTTTCAAGTTAGTGTTGGTGTTGGCATGCGAATTGGTATTGGTAATTACCACATTTTTTGTATGGGGGCATTTTTGAAAACGTCGTGTAAGACGGGATTTTGTGAGATTCATGGGTGGAACTATGCTTATGCTTTGCAGTGTATAGTAGGATTCTACATCTTCAAGCAGCAGACATTCTCAGTGTTGTTTGGATGAAGCTTCAGTGACCAGGCCTCAGGACATCTAATTGATGAGGTTCCAAAGGGAGAGGGAAGGGGATATATGGCATTGTCGGAGCAAGAGTGCTTCGTACACGAACGAGGATGAAACGAGGAAAGTCAACACCTAAAACGTTCTTCTCGGAAGCAAATACGCGTCCCCTCCTCTTCAGCGACCAAATGTGACCTGCTCGCTGGAGATCCCTAACATGCGACTTGCTCTGGTTGAGGAGATTCCAAAGGCATGTGCTTTTGGTTTTTTTTTCACAAATCAATCAAAACTAGGGGCAACATTTCAACCTCGTTTCGCTACTGTATGACGATTTCTTCCTCGAATCATTGCCACTAACAGGCTACCTCTCATCTCTCTACATTTTTAAGAGCTGCGACGTATAACTGAAAAACTTGGGAATTCGAGTACGACAAGGGCGTCAAGCATCGCTGCTTCAATGAAGGCGTGCAGATTGAAATTAAGATGGATAGTTCATGGTGGAATTATCGTACCAACTTAAAATATCATCCAGGTACACATGAAACGGTGCAGAAAAAACGCGAAAAAGTGCAGCACATCTCCGTAGGTGGACGGAGTCAGCGTCCTCTCTCGGAAGGTGGAAGGATAATTCGACCACCCCCCTTCTAACAACGAAAAACTGCGTCCCTATCCCCACTTTGGCGTCCCTGAAACAAAAAAACAACTATCAGAAAAGGAATCTTTCTCAGTTTGAACGCGACCCCCTCTCCCAGCAATCACATACAACCCCCACCCCACTCCTGCTGGGGAATTCCCAACAACGATGTGCCCTGTCTAGAAGTCATTCGATGTGTGCGTGATACGTCCCGATCATATACATTTTGCAGTTTCGAGACAAGGAGCGTTGTGAGAGGCGATGCATTGAAGGAACCCATGAGAACTCTGCGAAAGCCAGTGATGAAGAAATAAGTAAGAGAAACGTTGTCATCAAGCTATCGGCAAACTCTCAGCGTCCATATCAAGTCGGAGATAAGGTGAATAATCATCCTTGAGAGCATTGTGCCCAGATGAAGAGTTGCCTTTTCGAGAATACTGCAGTAATACCTTTGTTGTAACCTAGTCTTGTTTGTTCGAGTTCTTGTGTCTCAAGTCACCATTGATTTCGATCAGATTGAGCTCAGCTGCGATGCACATGGAGTTTTGCCGGTTGTGTGGATGAAAGATGGTGTTCTGTTGCATTACGGCGAGAGAATTCAGGTAAAATATCTTTCTACTTCACTATACTGAAGTCGTATCAAGCGTTGAAGGGCGGGCTTTTCCAAGAACGATTTTGTAAGTCTACAAGGACCAAAAAGGCAAACTTTTGTTGGCTGAGCGCTATCAGGAAGGTCAAAAAGTGGTGAAGAAACGGTCTCACTACTGCGCGTAGTACACTTCGAAGCCCTGAGATGTGGTAGGCGTGGCTGCGCACTTCTGTCTACGGACAACTTGAACTCAGTCCCTTCGAACGCGTCGATCTTCTCTTTTTCTCTGCATTCCCTCGCCCGCATGGCACTCTATGTGGCCGTTGACTGTCGCACGTTTAGCTTTCACTCTGACTAAAAGTAGCCTCACGTAGACACACACAAACCACACCAACCAACCACAACACACAACCACCGACCCCGGTCCCTCTTTCCGGTGCCCAATTACCCTACAGAAACATGTGTTTCTGCACGTTCCGATCTTTGGCACCTGCTGCCCTCTATCCCGTTTGGTAAGGGTTTGAATACCACAGGCGACCAAAAGTATCAAGATGGTACCAATGCCCTCCTATGCCGTCTGGCGTTCACAGGATTTCGTAACAAACACATAAATTCGTAACGCGGCAGTTTCAAGTAAGGTGGGCAATACTTGCGCTTTGTGAAAATATCTTATCACACAACTCGGTCATTGTCTCCGCAACCGCACAGCACAGACAACTACCAAACCATACTACGATAACATTGTGCCCATTCTCCACATGACTTCAGCGGAATCAGAAGTGCTTTCGAGTTCATGCATACAAAATCTACGGGGCTTTCCACTACATGACATACACAGACTTGAAGCTTTGTTATATTTTCGGCGTGTTTCTAGCACTCCCCCTCAACAGTGTGATTTTCAAATTATGAATAAGTGTCACAAGCCTGCAATATATGGTTCGAGGATCTTTTTCCATTGAAAATCCTCCCCCCTTGTTGCACTGCTAGAATACTCGAGGCAGCGGCAAGGAAACTTTCTTTCGATCTCGTAATCCAAAATCCCGAGTAAAACACTCTTTATGAAGTGCACGGCACGGAAAGGATTTCCTTGCGCACCATGTCTGTTTGGCGCTGGATATTTTTAAAAGCTTCGCCCTTTAATGGCGTGGCTGATAAGGTGGTATAGCGCAAAAGGAGGCCATGACAGTCTGGTGAAACAGAGATATCAAAGGTTCTGGCAGCATTCAAGGGAATGCGCCCATTCAGAATAATTCAGTTAGCTGAACAGCACGAGGACGTTTGAGGAATATTAGTATGCGTAGCACTACTCAACTCATTCGGACGGGTACGAAAGGGCAGTGCAAATCAAGGAGACGTCGCGCCCGTTGCCGCGCGCGACGAAGCTTGCATATGATTGTTTTCTTGCCCGTCTCCCGATTCGGACATCAAATGAAAGCAAACACCAGTCGTAGAAAAATGTAAATGTTAACAGTGTTGCATTTGTCTTATTTTTCTGTAAGTGACCTAGTTCAAACAATGCCTAGTCTACATAATACACGGCACAATATCGCATATGATATCTTACCAGTTTTTGTCCTCCAGCAGCCGCCGCCGCCCCCTTTCCTTTCCACCTCTAGTCATGCACTTCTTCAGGCGAAGCTCCGCCGTCATATCGGTGTAAGACACATTGTGGACTCGTCTCCGCGGATCTAGCTCCGTGGAACTAAGTTCTTGTTGGCTAGCGGGCACTTTTCCCAACCAATTCTCTTATCGCACTCTCTTAGCACTTCGCGGAAGGACAGACAAATGGAAAGGTTCAGATACAGAAGGAGATACGAGATAGTGAAGTATAAGGGTCTTCCACGCTTATATGGAGTTTGAGCGACTGTCGACTTTACGTCGGTCAGTTGCTCTTTGGAGCGCGCAATCACTTTTAACATCCCAAATCGTGGTTGAATACGATTTTGCCTATGCATTGATGGCCAGCCAGGCCGTTGAGAAAGCTGCTTTGTTTTCTGTCATGTGACTCTGGTACCACTCAGCCGGATCGGATCTGATTTCGATGCAGGATTTTATCCTCTGACAGAGCCCGTGATGATCTGTGCCGCCTGTCTTGGCATCACTTTTCGTTTTGAGAGAATCGTGTTCTTTGAAATACATCAACGTAATTTCTTATTCATTTCAGGTGCATGATCACTCCACCAGGGTAATCATATCCCATGCGGAGGCCAGTGATAGTGGTGAATACAGATGTGCTGTGGGGCCAGACGGATTGCTAAGCGACGCCCAAGTCGTCAAAGTAATCGGTGAGAAATGGAGCCATTGAATTATTTTGGTAATTAAATGGAGTTTCACAATTACGATTCCAGCAAAAAAACGTGAAAGGGAGCCAGCTGCGCAGGATTATGAATCCTCGAGATGCATTGCACCTAAGAGATTTCTTAGACACCGGCGACAAGTCACAACGCAACGCCGCGCGCGACACTTTTTACTGGCACCATTCGTCCAATTGTGCTCGAAGGTGCCGTCGCAGAGAGCTGCTACTGAAGCACCCTTGAGCCACAAGGCAGCAAACTTCGCGACTGTGGGCTACCATTGTAACAGCGCTTCAGTGCTATAGACGTGAATCCAGCCATAGATAGGTATCTACCAGCGTCGGATGCTATTACTTTGAGAAAGTTTCGGAGAATAGGAGGGTAAAC